ACTTACTTACTTACTTACTTACTTACTTATGCCTATCCTCCTGGGACATAATCCACCAACATAATCCACCACAATTCCGCCCCATATAGAAGTACCGGTTTTATGCTTGTGTTGAAGACCCTAATCTTTGTTCAGAGAGATGAGTTGATGAATGCCATATGTTCTTTAGCTGGTTGAAGGTTGCCCTCTCGTTGCCAATTCTGACTCGTACATCAGTGTCTGTCCCTCCTGATTTATCTATGTTACTCCCCAGGTAGGTGAAGCTCTCCACTTCTTCTAAATCTTGACCTCCCAATGTGACTTGGTTTGTGTTAGTTGCATTTATTCTAAGTACCTTTGTCTTTGTTGGGTGTATGTTAAGGCCAATTCTTGTAGAGTTGTAGTTGACTGTATCCGTCTTGTCTTGTATCTACTGTTGTGTATGGGAGAGCAGAGCGAGGTCATCTGCAAAATCCAGGTCATCCAGTTGTCCCCAGAGAGACCACTGGATACAGGAAAGGTGACAGCAAACAGCCCTGTCTGACACCAGTCCTAACCTGGAAGACATCAGTCAGCTGTCCTCCATGGACAACACGGCAGGTCATACCCTCATATGAGTTCTTGATGATGTTTGTGATTTTATCTGGTATGCCATAGTACCTCATGAGATTTCAAAGAGTGGGCCTATCAATGCTATCAAATGCCTTCATGTAGTCCACAAAATTGATGTACAACGAGGAGTTCCACTCGAGTGATTGTTCTATAATGATGCGTAAAGTTGTTATCTGGTCCTAAAACCAGCCTGCTTGTCATGTAGGAGTGCATCCACTGCGTCCTTCATTCTACTGGGGAGAATTTGGTTAAAAACTTTCTCCGGTATGGAGAGCAGTATCATCCCCCTGTAGTTCCCACATTGACTAAGGTCACCTTTTTTGGTAGCTTTACAAGGTAGCCCTCCTTCCACTCTATCGGGGTGTTTTCCTCCTTCCAAATGTTCTGGAAAAGTGGGTAGAGGATTTCCACATTTACTGCAACATTTGCCTTTAGAACATCAGCTGGAATACCATCTGGTCCAGCAGATTTACCCATCTTCAACTGTGTGATGAATCTACGTATTTCTTCTTTTCTTCTTTTGTTAGTGGACTGCAGTCAATAGGTAGGTTGTTATCGGCTGATGGAATATCCGGTGTGTCATGCGGGCCTGGCCTATTTAGCAGCTCTTCAAAATGCTCCTTCCACCTCCCTTTTCTGACCTTCATCATCCGTGATTGCATTTCCCTCCTTATTTTTCACTGGTCTTTCCGGTTTGCTGAACTTGCCCGATAGAGTCCTTATGATTGAATATAGTTCTCTCATATTTGCCTTGCGAGATGCTTCCTCTGCTTCATCTGCAACTGTCTCCATATAGTCTTGTTTGTCTTTCTTTATCCTCTGTTTGACAGGTTTGTTTATCTTTGTGTATTCTTGTTGAGCTTTTGACTTCTGAGACCTTGTTCTACTGTTGTTGATAGCAGCCTTTTTCTCCCTTCGTTCTTCAACCTTCTTCAAGGTTTGTTGAGACATTCACTCCTTGTGTTTGCGTCTACTTCTTCATCCTCTATTATTAGATCATTAAGTACTTCAAACCTGTTCTGTAACTTAATGTGGAATTCCTCTAGTTTCATCGAATCCTTCAAGAGTGCGACATTATATCTTGGCATATTGCGCTTTTGTCCAGAAAGATCTCCTAAGTTTGAGTTTGACATGTGACACAAGTAGATGGTGATCCGATGCTACATCCGCTCCTCTTCTGCTCATTGGAATTGGGCTTGGAATTGTGCTGCACTTGGAATTGTGGTAAATTCGGGGAATATACTTTAAGTTTCAGCCCATATAGGATTATGTGCAATCATAATGACACCAAAACGGAACAGGAAACATCGAAGCTACTTTTGGAATTGACCTACATTTACTTCTCGTGGTATGGACGGAGCTTATTTAATTTGACTGATTATTCAAGTACAGCAAATATCAAATGTCCATTGTATCTAGATAGTCAACAGGCACGCTTATTGTTTATGTTTATGTAATGTAAACAGTGTAAAATAAAATAAACAAGTCAAGGCAACTTGTGAGAATCCGAATTCAGGTCTACCCTGCTATATTCAATAAATATATTCACAGACATAAACTACGTTGCATAGAGTAAATATATATATCCCGCTGTATTTTGTTCTACTGTAACTTTAAAGCTGGTTTCCAAACGATCGGATTAGCTTGAATTCTTCATTCTTCAAGATTACTTCATACCTCTGACAGGGAATTCTAACAATTGTATTAGATTACATGTACATGAATAGTCATCAACTATTATTTTGATTGTTGATTGTCCTTGCGTCATTTAATGTATTTGCAAAATCGACAAGCGTAAATCCTCAGACCGACCAAAACTGAAAGTAAACACATACGGATCGTACCTCCTACATGTATTACCTTCCAAGCAACAGGCAACAGCAACTTGGATCGTCTACCGGGACGCACTATTTCCTCAGCTCCTGAGAGCGAGGTTATTCGTAGTTATGTTGGCGATCGCCACTGTGTCTGCAGAAGTACCATGGGAGATTGCATGATGGGAGTGAAAAGTCTTTTGTTCAGTAAAACAATTTTAGAAAAGTGCAAAACTAGAGTGACTGTGAAATAAAGGTTGGTTTTAAATATTAAATATCATGGAATCTGGATGTAATAATGAAAGGAAATTGAACTGGTATGAAAAGACAGTAAATATAGCCAGAATGCAAGGTCAGAATCCGGGGGTCAAAATACGTCACACTACATCCATTAAGGTGGTTGCAAAGTTTCAACAACTATGGATGCGGTAAAAGACTTGATTTGCAGTTTGCGTGAATGGCCGGGGAGAAAACATTCATGCAAATTCTACTATTTCGCAAAATTTACCCAGCCTTGCTTCTACCAGTCATTTAAGTCAACTCCCATATTATCCTTTACAGTGAAGGTTAATTCAGATATATTGTAAATTACACAGAGGTAACACTACAACACATTTACATTCCCTTGCATTACACAACAATCTTTGTGCTGAGGCAGTGATGGTTCACTCCATCACCAGTTCTGTTGTTGTTGTTTTTTGTTATCGTGCGGGAAATGCTTAGTTTTGAACGTGACGTTGCATGTAACGTAAATTTCAATTGACCTCACTGTGATGACGCATGCGTTGTGGAATACGAAAACAAAGTCTGAAGCATGCGCACTGCGTTCACAATATGGTAATAATCTTTAACGAGGTTATGACGTAGTCATATCTCATGAATATTATTCGAAAATGAAATTATTAATACAAAGAATTTAGTATGAAACGTCGAAATCACGATATTCGGCCTCTGTCTATTGTGGTTATTTGAAGACTGTGAAAGCTTTCTATGACACTAAACTTTTTCGTTTTACAACCAAATCTAAATGAGCTACGGCGAGCAGCAATAGGTCCCGATTGTATATAGCGTCACCAGTGTCTGTTCCCGGCTCCATGCATGCGTCTAGTTCGATTTTACCCTTAGATCTAGTGCCATTTGACCCCTAGGTCTAGTGCCATGTAACTCCTAGATCTAGTACTATTTTACCACTAGATCTAGTACTATTTTACCACTAGATCTAGTACTATTTTACCACTAGATCTAGTACTATTTTACCACTAGATCTAGTACTATTTTACCACTAGATCTTGTACTATTTTACCACTAGATCTAGTACTATTTTACCACTAGATCTAGTACTATTTTACCACTAGATCTAGTACTATTTTACCACTAGATCTAGTACTATTTTACCACTAGATCTAGTACTATTTTACCACTAGATCTAGTACTATTTTACCACTAGATCTAGTACTATTTTACCACTAGATCTAGTACTATTTTACCACTAGATCTAGTACTATTTTACCACTAGATCTAGTACTATTTACTCACACTAACCACTATGCCTATTTAAACACACATACATACATGGGTCTATTGAACTTTTAAGTTACGTTTTAACCTCTGTCGCGACCTTCGCCTTCAATATACTTTGACTCGAACTTGAACTTAATAGAAGTTAAACAGATAACAATCTATACATCTAGCACATGGACAACTTGACATAGGTACGCTTCGACCAACATAGTCTTGATATAAGATGGTGAAGACACAGAAGTACGTGCTTGCTAAGCATTTCCAAGGTGCACCAAAAGAAAGTGATTTTAAGCTCGTGGAGGAGGAGCTGAGAAGTATCGTCAGTGGGGGTAAGTACAACTGTCTATGTCTTTCCCAGCATCTTATTGCATGTTGATATATGTCAGGATATAGCCGTACATCTGGCAACATTATCATCTTCGGCATCTCGTCAATATTGCATTCCAGCATATTTTGAAATAGATAAATATATCACAAATTCATCATCAATAATTAATTCATGACTTTAAAGTTATGTTTACAAAAATGGAGTATACTCCAATGCTTCGTCACGTGACTTTGATTTCGAATACCAAATCTCACGACAAAAGAAAATTAAGAACTGTTTCAAACAATCTTGTATGAATGTGACTGTGATGTTAACTAACCACTTGAAAAACCTGTTGCTTCAGAAAGAAAATTAACAAAACGTATTTTCAGTTACATGCATTATTTGGCTTCTTGGTCACAATACACGGCATTAAAGTTATAGTTGTATGAGATACGTACATTTCTATGTGCATTACATTATACAAAGTGAAACATTATGACTGGGTATATATTGAGTGAAATGTTATAATTAGGATTAGAAAAGGTTATATTAATTATAAATTTGCTTACTAAAATATTAATATTTATTATATACTGAATGGAAAATATACACTTGGAGGTCATTTATGGTCAGCAAACAGATACACCAGATAATCAGTAAACCGATAAATCAAATATTCAATAAACAGATAAGCAGTGAAAAATAAACAGCAAATAATGTATGGTAACCGTGACAAAGCAAATTTAGTAAAAACGGTGATGAGAAAGCACCAGACAAACATTTTATTGTCTTAAATTAGATTTATTCAAACTCTACGTGGACACATTAAAACACATTTCATTTAGAGTTGAAACATTGTAGCAGTTTAAGTGTTCAGTTAACTAGAATTTGCTGATTCATTGTGACTTTGCTTTCGATATTTGCCTCAAATTATCTTATAACATATTAACTCCTCAAAACGAAAAAAATACATTATTCATAAATAATTTGTAAAATAGCAAAAACACTAAATTTGTTTCCATTATATTAACTTAGAAATAAACTTTAAATTGTGTACTTTTCTGAATTCATTGGAATATAACATACCTAACCGTGGATCTTCGTATAAGTATGGAGCAGTGGTGTAGTCTTCTTAATATTAATTTGGATTAGATATATCACTATATTTAGTATTGATTAGTATGTAGTATGATTTTAATATATTTGAATGTGAAATAAAAAAAAAAATGTTTTTTGTAACCCTTTTGATTTAAAACTAACTCTATTAAAATTCACCTTTATATGAATACTTTACACTCTAATTTCACATTTGCATCACTTTTCTACTACTTTGCACTCTAGTTTCACACTTTGCAACACTTTCCCACTATTTTGCACTCCAGTTTTATACTTTGCTCCATTTTCCACTACTTTGCACTCCAGATTCGTACTTTGCACTGCATTTCCGTTACTTTACACTCCAGTTTCACATTTTGAACCACTATTTCAGTACTCTACATTCTAGTTGCAAACTTTGCACCACTATACGCTAATAAATAAATCAGCATACGAAAGAGAACAATTGTCCCATTGGAATGTCGATAATGTTGAAAAATATATCTTTCTAACTTGTCAAACATATTGTCAATAACATATTTAACAAAGTAAGTATAATTGTATACAACCTTTTTGTATTTGTAACGACAACAACCGTTTTATATAAAATATTTGATGAATAATATTCTTAATGCGTAAATTTAATCTTCCATGTGGCATAGTAGTAAATAGAGCGGAAAAATTAATGTGACATTTGTAAAGGTTTCTTGGAATTGTTCAATATCTACATCGATTTTTACTTCTTCTGAAAAAGATGACACCATAACATTAACATTCACATGCTACCCCCCCCCCCCCCAAGTTGACGAAATAGTGTTGTTTTTACTACAAACCTGAAAATATTAAGAGTATATATTCTTTCTCAACTTCTCTGCATATTTTAAGCGTATTGGAGTTTCCTATTTCATAGACAAACGCCCATATAATGTCACGTACCTTCAGGGACATATAAAGTCTAACAATTCTGTCTACAATTATATCTTTATTTAAGAGTCTGGCTTAAATGTGGATTTAATTTCACTGTGTATATATGTGTGTGGTTTCTCGTAGATTTGCGAAGTATGACTTTGAGTATACAAGTGAAATAATATATATTACTGCCCGAATATGGGTGTTTGTGCCCGAGCGCAGGTGATCATTTTCCCGACGTTAGAAGGGCAAATGATCTCCTTGCGCGAGGGCACTGACGCCCATATTCAGGCTGTAATATTTTTATTAAAGCCCGGTGGTTTTAGTACCGTTAAAACCACCGAACGTGATGTCCGTCGCTGTACCGTGTGGCAAAATCAGAATACCGGAGAATTGCGGCGCCTGGAAGACATATGTCATGAATTAGTTTACGCGTATCTGTTAATCGACTTAATTAGCTGATTATTAGCGAATTGCTGTGTTATGTCTGTCATCGTTTAGGCCTGTTTGAAGTTTTGGACGGAACTTGGCTCAGTGATTTGGAACTAATTACGAGATAACCGTCGCTATTCGGACTACTATTTCTGACAGTTGGTATCCGTAGTTATTAATGTAGTGAACGATTAATCAAAAGATATGACGTATTCAGTACTTAGTTTGATTGGCTTTATGATTGAAGATTACGCCCTAGAGTCTTTTTACTGCATTGTAATTGGTTAAGATTTTGAAAATGAATAAAGAGAGTTTGAGTTGGTCTTGGCGAGTACAGCACGACAGACAGAGTCTAGTCCTAGAGAGTCTTGGGCGAGTCTTGGGTCAGCCTTGCGATAGTCTTGGGGATTTTTCCCCAGGGCGCTGTGTCTTATAGAGTGCTCGAATGATCGACTAAGACGAGAGTTGAAACGTATTTCGTTGTGTGTGTCTTATTTGACTGTAAAGCTTAAGTGACTTTCCCGATCCCGCACCTCAAGGGGACGAGATATAGAGACGAGACGAGATTCCCCCCTGACACGTGTGGAGAACCCCAGAGGAGAAGATTTTCCCCCTGATACATACCACATACAACCGGTCGAGTTGAATGAGCTTCTGGGCAATTTTTTCATCAGCATAACAGGGGCGAAGACAGGATTTTTTTATGGGGGGGGGGGGTCAAACTTTAAAATCGCCAGACTAAGTGAAAGATTTTTTTTTATATTATACAAATACAGATCGAAACAAAATTTCGGCTGGGGAGGAGGAAGTTATGTGGCAAACCGGTGTGCTTGGAATCCATAACCCCAGAGTGCTAATTTCACAATGTTTTTTTTTTCGGCAAACATTACGGCATGAGAGGTCGACAGGAGCACCGGCAACTACAATATGGCGATATCGTCGTTGGTCATGATGCAGATGGTATTGAATATTTAGAATTTCTCGAAAGAAGTACGAAAGTACAAATGGAAACAGCGGGCGAGACCTAGTATCACCTTTATGAGTACATAAAACACCGTTCACCCACTGCCTGCAAGTCCGACTCGGACTTTTATCTCGCTCTACTTCCACTACATTTGAACAAGTCTGACGTTTAGTATTTAATCCACGGCCACTCGGAAAGAGTAGAATCGGGAAATTGATGGTAAAAGCTACACATATGGCCGGTATATCCGGTCGAAAAACTAATCATTCTGAACGCAAGACTTACGTTAAACGTTTGTCATCTGCTGGTGTCGCCGCCCATAAAATTACAAAATTGACCGGTCATTAGAATCACGCTAGTCTCCAACACTATGATCACGGACACAATCTAACAGAGCAGAAAGAATTATCGTATATTTCGAGCGATGTGAACAAGCAAGTTGTACTTCGCAATCAAGGTATAAATAAACTTGACCCTGTCTCGTCAATGGGAACCGAAAATGACATTATGAACAATTGTACCATCACACTGAATGTAGCTGTTCCGGGAACACGTAAATATGTGTGACCTACGCATGTTAAATCACGCAAATTCAGTCGTATACGGGTTATTGACACTAGCTCAGAATCTAGTCAGATAGTTGATTAAAACTTGCCGATTTTAAATTAGTATGCAATGTTGTCACAAGTTGTTGAATTTTTGCGAGTTATCAATTGTTTGAATTTCATTTTTGGTTGACAAGCTCATGTATCCGATGTGAGTTGTTATTACGTGTATTATTGTAAAATTGGATATGTGTGTGGTTGCAAACTTTTATTAAAATACTGAATATTAACATCATCATGATTGTCTTCTTTATTTTTTATAAATTTTCTCTAAGCAAACAAAAGTAGTTCCGGGAATTTCCTTGATCATTGCACCTCTCTGTTGCTATTAACGACGGTCCGTACATGGCTTACTGTTACTTGTTTTTCCACAAAAGTTTAAACATATGAAAGTTGCTACACTTCTAAATAAGTTTATATTTTATGGTAACTCGTGACATTTCGCAAATAAATATATCTTTCTGTATAGAGATGCTGTTAAAGACGGAATTCATAACAGTGGATCCTTACATGAGGTAATAGTCTTCTTTTTCTAAAGAACCCGATTTATGTGTGACCTATTGCCCCCATGTGTTATAAACCTTGACATGTGTGTTATCAATCCAGACATTTATGCCACATTAATATGGGACACAGTTTCACATATATTGGTGTCTAAAATAAATTTGATGCCAACTGCTACCAATAATTAAACTATTTTTTTTAAATTTTATTTAATGAATACTCTTGACAGAGGGAGCACAGCTTACCTAAGCATAGGGGATACCATTGTAGGTGAGCAAGTTGCTAGGTATGTATACAAAAAATGGTTTGAGACAAAATGTACACAATAGAAATTGAATTATCCCGATTTTAGATATACACATATGTGATATCTAGGTATTTATATAATATAATCGTTTGTATTATTATGTAGGGTGATTGAAAGCCGTCATGCAGACTATCCTGTTGACACTGTTGTAGTGAATCGCAACGGATGGACTACGTATAGTATTTCAAGTGGAATAAACGTAGAAATCTTCTCTAGCGTAAGCATTTGTACACAATTTTGTACATTACCAAACATATTACACGAAATATCTGAAGGCATCACACTGCGATATTGGCACTGGAACCTAAACTGGGTTATACACCGAAATACTGGCATTCTGAACGTGAAAGAGCCATTACACTGAGATATTTGCACACTAGACATGAAAGGGGAATTATACTAACATATTGCCACCAAGAAAAATAAGTTTATACACGAAGATATTGCCACCAGGGTGTGAAAAATGCTTTACACTATCACATTGGGACGTGGAGTGTGGAATTGTAGGATTTTTGTAATTTTTATGACTGTGCTTCAATTGTAGCCGACCATGTGATTACACTGAGATATTTATCTGTTATTTGAAATAATTATGACATGATAATATGTTTAATGATATATACCGCCTGTTGTGTCATTTTCCAGTCTGCAGGATCTCCATTAAGGAAGCTCACATTTCCACCTGACTTACCACTGTCCTTGGCACTGGGAGTTTTAGGAATGCCAGGGTAAGTGACTCTATAAATTAGACACACATTTAGTTCCGTTTGTTACACCAACTCAGTGTCTCATTATGTTAATACAGTATAATTTGTCATTGAAGTATTCTATGTAGATATTCATATTATGTTCACGTAACCTGTAAAACACTGTGTGAATCACTAGATCATTGTGCATTTGACGATATTAAACTATTATTATTATGTGACCCCAAACATTAGATTAATAGCCGGATTGATTTGTAGTATGTTACCTTGAAGTTGTCAATTAGCCTTGTACTATACTAACTATATTAATCCTACAAAACTGATCACAAAGGTATATATTTAACCGACTCTTAGCAATTACTACCTTTGCGAAGCATGACATTGGCTTTTACATACATAGATTAGGTTGTCTATTAATTACGGATCCAGCATTACCCGAATAAAACATTATGTAACCAAAGTATTGTTTTCTTTCAACGACCACCAATGGTCGACCATGTATTGTATTTATTTACGCTAGTTGCCGTATTGTTCGCAGATTCTAACCAGTTAGTTAATCGAACAAGCTAAATTGTCATCCATGGTATTAATTAACGGATGTGGGATATTCCGTTGAAATATTTATTTATTTTGTATTGGCATTAATATTAATATGTGTGGTCTTGTGTTGAAATGTACACAACAAAACGTTAACATAAGACATACTAAACTCATTTCACAATGAACCATTTAGCTTCCTAGTATTTATACAAATCTACATATATTATAAGCAACATTCATTATTAATATGTTATATTTGAACAGAGGAACTGCATACTATGGCTTATTAGATTTGTGTAAACCTAAAGCAGGGGAAACTGTATTTGTAAATGCAGCATCGGGTGCAGTTGGTGGAATAGTTGGACAGATTGCCAAGATTAAGGTAATTACTGCTCAGTATTATTGAACATAAATATCATAATGATATCAGTAGGATGACAAATGACTTTATTCCATATTTGGGCTTTTTCGATGAAACTATTAAAGTTATTTTAAGATAGATTGTTTTTCTGACAAAAAACAAATTATTTTTCATATTTGTACAACATACTGTTACAACATGCCCTTCATTTGACGTAGGCCGGTCACAAACGACTGTGTCCCCATTGTAGCCTGCATATGAAGTTCCGAAAGTCTAAAACTATAGTAAAGTACTGTACGAATTACTAAAAACGTTGTTACACAATTTATTGATTTCATTATTATTACATATTTATTATATTTCTGTTTTTAAACTAAACTGCAATAAAGTGACACAATAACCATAACAGTGTCGTTCGTATTGTTTACGATGATATCCTAACCTATATATACGATAATTTAAAGTCCCAGATGACTGGATTAGGTTACAGATGCACATTTGTTCATGTCTTATTAACTAAGTATGAGAGGTAAATTACCCCAGAATTTCAGTTATGTGTTACCGGTGTATAGCTACGCCATACTCTAGTGACTATACATACAGTTTTCTTTCCGCCTGCACACATATTACAATCTTGAAGACAAAATGCATCCAAACCCCTTCCCCCAACACACATGACAAACGCGTGGGAGGTCAACATTGCCTTCCATGCAAGATACTCTATTTACGTGTTTCTGATTTTATTAAACTTACCTGCCAATCGATTGAGGGTTTTTATGCCGGGGTACAAATATGGTTATCTTTCTTATTTAAATTACACTTTATACAATATGCATGTAACTATACAATACCTATAGGGATGTACCGTTATTGGCTGTGCTGGTACGGATGATAAAGTTGAATTACTGAGAGAATTAGGTTATGACAAAGTGTTTAACTACCGAACTGAGAACTTGGACGATGCATTGACTAGAACCGCTACTAATGGTATCGATTGTTATTTTGACAATGTAAGTTCACATATACATATCATAACCTAATATGCAATTGATAATATATCGTATGACGTCATTTGTATTCTTAATGACATGGCAACATATCACGATTAGAATATTTTATTGTATTCTGAGAATAAACTTCCATGATGTATTATGTGTAGGTAAATAGCATATGCTAATTATAACAAAATATGTATCTGTATATTCTTATTTAACATTATATTGTAAACAATGTTATGTGATTTATTCAAATATTTCTTAGGTTGGCGGTCCATTTTCAAGTACAGTGTACAAACATCTTAATACATTCGCCCGTGTGGCTGTTATTGGGTCAATATCACAATACAATAAAATCAATGCAGACAAAGGTGAGCAGTGTGCCAAGTTTCCAATGTTAAAACCCAATTTTAAAACCAGAAACATGGTACTTCGATTGTTTGGAATGATATTTGCGCCCGAGTGCAAATAACCCGAGGCAGCATAAAATGATATTTCTTGATGGCAGTGACCGTCACTCATACAACATCTTGTAATGAAATATTTTTGACATGGCAATACATATACAGATTTTTGTCAATTCAACTGTGTCTTAATTCCACCACGTCAATATAACTTCAAGCTTACAGTTCTGATTCTGATCCAACATTTATTTATTTCTTACACCACAGTAACATCAATAGAGACCACCGTAATAATGAAATGCTTGACTATAAGAGGATTTATGTTTCCCCATTATGAGCATAAAGCTTCGCAGGCATATGATGAAATGTTGGAATGGATAACTGAGGTAATACCACACACACACGGTCGGTCAAATGACATTGAATAAAAATGGATATTACATGGTATATTGCCCGCCAAGTGTGATATTTAAGCAATAACCCCCGCCGAAGTTGGGTATACCACTTGATATTGCACAATTCACTCCATATATGCACTCGCCTGCGGCTCGTGCATATATGTCGTGAATTGTGCAA